AGCCAATATTTGGTTGAAAACAAAAAAAAACCTTGTGAAAGAAGAAAGTATAATAATAAGTCTCCTGATGTTCCATCAGGCATGGCTCATTATAAGTTTTGCCTTGAGACAATAAAAGTCTCTTTTACTAGCAAATATGTGCTTGTGAGTTCATTGATCATTTGGACATGTGCACAATGGGCTGAAGCAAAGTGTAACCCTGTGTTTGAGGAGGGGGGCTGTATTGGAAAAGCATCATGGTTGGTTTATGGATAATCTTAGTTTGCTGGATGATGCATTTTGGAAGTTACATGTAGAAAATTGGTAACATCCTCAATTGGAGATATACTGAGAGTTTCTTAATCAAGCCGATAATATGCAAATATATGCGCTGTTTTAACAAAACCTGACACCATATCGGGCAAATTTGCCTGCTTCAGACTTATCTAGCTAGATGATATGATGGGCGTCGCAAATTCGTACACCAGTGACACCTTCTTGACGTATAACTTTCTCTACAATAATTAGAATAAGAATATTATATTGGTCCGCGTCTTCATTCCGGTGTATCCGTTTAGTTTGGGAGTGGGGTGATCTTATTAAAGAATTATAATTCATTTTATTCGCCTTATCGAAGTAAATGGGTATTTTTTTTAATATAAAAACCTTCTTTGTTCACAAGGGACGAAAAACAATTGGCGAAACATTTTTAGAGGGGAGGAGGAGCAATTGCTTCTACTGTTGTTTCTGTTACAGTCACTACTATTAATACTACTACTACTTCTACTACTACTACTAATACGACTACTACTACTATTACTATTACTACTAATAATGCCGTTTAAGTAAATAATAATATTATTATGTAATATTGTTAGACATGAGAGATTGAGGTGAAATTACAGATTATTTGTTTGACTTGGTTTTTAAGGGTTAACAATGCTTTGTGGGTTATATAAAGCCTACAATTTAACCCACAGCTTCGGGAATTATAATGATAGATAACTCTCCAAGTGGTCAACGAATTCATTCAACTCGGCAGGAATTCGAACCTGGCGCATCGATTTCTTACACTGAGCCGCTATTCATTACAACAGCCGTAGATCCACGTGCAATCATAGAGTACAAAAATACGCGCTACTATTAATTCAATCCCAGGTAGAACGTATCTCCACCAAACACATCTGTCGTATTTGTGTATCTGTGTTGATAGTGGCTTCAAGGGAAAAAATATGGCAGAAAACCAATTCATAAGCAGTTCAGTTTGTTGAATGCCTCCAGATTCATAAGCCTTTCTTCTCGGTCCAGGAACCCCGGGGGATGCATCGGTTTTCTCCTGCAAGTCATTTTCTTTTTCAATACTAAGAGGACGAGAATAGTTCGAGGAAAATCAACTGCAATGTTTGTAGTTCCATTTTTGGATTTGGTGAGTAATTTGACTGTTATCTCCACAAAGCCTATCTAAGAATGATGTTGACATTTCAGTTTCATGGCCACAAATGAGCTGCCACCCGACATCATCACTTTTCAGATGTGAAACCTCTCTGATTTCACCTGTTAAGAGAAGAGTGCTTATTCGGATCTTGTAGAATGGCGGAATTACTGAACTTGAGAAGACTATTTGTCTAGAAAGAAAAAAGTGATTGCGGAAATCTCAACCAATAGCAAAGATAATTGTTCGGCCATTGAAGGCCAAATATTTCCGTATAAAGGAACTGATATTCTTATCAACATCATTTGATTTTGATGTCTCTTCAGTGAAATTTATAAGAATGCGTTTTCATCTATTTTAAATCGGGAAGAAATTATAACTGAAATTCTATTATTCCTTATTTATGTATTTGGGGAATTATACAAAATTAGTCGTACCCGTAAAAATTTAAGGGATTTCCAGTTTTAATATTTTTTTCTTTCTCTCTTTCCATTATTTATAAGTTATTGGCAGGACATTACTTGCTTTCTTTCCATTATTTATGACAGTTCTTTCATTCATTCTTTCCTTTTTCTTTCCTTTTTCGTTCTTTTTCTCACTGAGGACATTACTTGCTTTCTTTCCATTATTTATGACAGTTCTTTCATTCATTCTTTCCTTTTTCTTTCCTTTTTCGTTCTTTTTCTCACTGAGGACATTACTTGCTTTCTTTCCATTATTTATGACAGTTCTTTCATTCATTCTTTCCTCTTTCTTTCCTTTTTCGTTCTTTTTCTCACTGAGGACATTACTTGCTTTCTTTCCATTATTTATGACAGTTCTTTCATTCATTCTTTCCTTTTTCTTTCCTTTTTCGTTCTTTTTCTCACTGAGGACATTACTTGCTTTCTTTCCATTATTTATGACAGTTCTTTTCATTCATTCTTTCCTTTTCTTTCCTTTTTCGTTCTTTTTCTCACTGAGGACATTACTTGCTTTCTTTCCATTATTTATGACAGTTCTTTCATTCATTCTTTCCTTTTTCTTTCCTTTTTCGTTCTTTTTCTCACTGAGGACATTACTTGCTTTCTTTCCATTATTTATGACAGTTCTTTCATTCATTCTTTCCTTTTTCTTTCCTTTTTCGTTCTTTTTCTCACTGAATTCAAACCGCCTCTATGATATATCTTTTCCATCTTTCCACGCGAGCAAAACGAAACAGTACATTATATACAAAGTATTGCCAAGGCATCTATTTCTTTCTCTTTTTCTTTCTCTTTTTCTTTCTCTCACATGTTTTTTTAATGTCTTTCCACGCGATTATTTATGAGGGCATGGGAAGGGTGAAACATACTTACATTATCCTAAAGTATCCTAAGATAAACATTATTAGAATTATAACATGATTATTTAACGGCGACAGTTTTCTGCAATTATATCACCGTATTGCACCGAATTAGAAAATAATGATAATTAATAAAACTATTGACATGGAGACTGTTGTCCTCATCCTTGTTGTTGTAATTACAACGTCTTGTCCGATGTGTCCTCCCACCTTCATCAGGTGCATGTCGATCCATGTAACCTACAGGAAATTGCGAACTGAATTACCTATAGGATACCCAGATAGACATGCACATAATGAAGGCCGGGTAGGGTGTGTCAACGGCCATACGTTGTGTTAAAACAACAAAGATGAGGACAATTGTCCGCATTTAAATAGAGTAAATAATGATAACTCCTCATCCCAGAAATTCAGGCAGAAGGTGATCAGATGATAATAACAACAAAGATGAGGACAATAGTCTGTATGTAAATAGAGTAAATAATGATAACCTCATCCCAGAAATTCAGGCAGAAGGTGACAGATGATAATGACAAAAAGATGAGGACAATAGTCACATTTAAATAGAGTAAATAATGATAACTCCTCATCCCAGAAATTCAGGCAGAAGGTGATCAGATGATAATAACAACAAAGATGAGGACAATAGCATTTAAATAGAGTAAATAATGATAACTTCTCATCCCAGAAATTCAGGCAGAAGGTGATCAGATGATAATGACAACAAAGATGAGGACAATAGTCTGCATTTAAATAGAGTAAATAATGATAACTCCTCATCCCAGAAATTCAGGCAGAAGGTGATCAGATGATAATAACAACAAAGATGAGGACAATAGTCTGCATGTAAATAGAGTAAATAATGATAACTCCTCATCCCAGAAATTCAGGCAGAAGGTGATCAGATGATAATGACAAAAAAGATGAGGACAATAGTCTGCATTTAAATAGAGTAAATAATGATAACTCCTCATCCCAGAAATTCAGGCAGAAGGTGATCAGATGATAATAACAAAGATGAGGACAATAGATGTAAATAGGATCCCAGAAATCAGGCAGAAGGTGATGCATTTGACAAAAAATAGAGTCTAAATTTAAATGTAAATAATGATAACTCCTCATCCCAGAAATTCAGGCAGAAGGTGATCAGATGATAATAACAACAAAGATGAGGACAATAGTCTGCATTTAAATAGAGTAAATAATGATAACTCCTCATCCCAGAAATTCAGGCAGAAGGTGATCAGATGATAATAACAATAAAGATGAGGACAATAGTCCATTTAAATAGAGTAAATAATGATAACCTCATCCCAGAAATTCAGGCAGAAGGTGATCAGATGATAATCAACAAAGATGAGGACAATAGTCTGCATTTAAATAGAGTAAATAATGATAACTCCTCATCCCAGAAATTCAGGCAGAAGGTGATCAGATGATAATAACAACAAAGATGAGGACAATAGTCTGCATTTAAATAGAGTAAATAATGATAACTCCTCATCCCAGAAATTCAGGCAGAAGGTGATCAGATGATAATAACAACAAAGATGAGGACAATAGTCTCATTTAAATAACAACAAAGATGAGGACAATAGTCTGCATTTAAATAGAGTAAATAATGATAACTCCTCATCCCAGAAATTCAGGCAGAAGGTGATCAGATGATAATAACAACAAATATGAGGACAATAGTCTGCATGCAAATAGAGTTTACTGCCAGTTAACATCAAAGAAATCATTATTTTACAAGACTTTTAAGGAAAATTCACCACGACCTCCTCTCCTTCTTTCATTTCCCCTATTTAATTTGTCATGGGGTATCAATATCTTGACTATATCATTATTGTCCTTTCTAGTTAAATGTGCTAACCATCTTAGTAAATGATGCTGGACAATTTTTTCAAGGGATGTGGTTTTTGTTATTTGGTAAAGTCCGTTGTTTGCTATTCTGTAGCGATAGTCGAAAATGTTCGATGAAGGATGATCATTGCTATGTTCTACAGACTTCATTCGCTGATTGTGACAATCGGTCGGCTCAGTGGAACGTCTAGCAAAATGTGGTAAATCGGCAGGCAGTAACCATTTCAAAGGCTTATTGATACATTGACAATTCTACTCTGGATAACTGGATGATTAATAAATGAATAATGAGATGATAATATGAAAAAAATAAAAAAAAAGAACTTTCAGACCAGGATAGATCCTTATGTAATCTGTGTAAAAACGGAGATTTCCTGTCCTTGACAATCGGTGGGTTTTCTTTTAACACAATGAGAGGGGGGTTCGAAATTCGACGGCGACGGCAAAATCCCGCCTGTAGCGGATGTCAAATCGGGTTGCCCGTTCGCGGACGCCGCCGCGTGCGAGGTGACAACAGCCGAAGTAGCGGACGCGCACGGCGACGACGAGCGCCACCGACGCGGACCACGACGAGCGCCCCCGACGCGGACCACGACGACCGCGACCGCCCCTGGCGACGACGACGCCCGTATATGGCAGGCTCCAGCGGAACGAAAAGAGACGCCTTTCGTAATACCGTGTCGGCCCGCGTCTTCATCATGTGCGTGTGTTTTACTTTTTAGTGTGATTTCATTAAAGGATTATGATCGACTATGTAACACTTATCGAAATAATGATTTGTTTATTTTCTGCCATAAAGGAAAGTTTTTTTTTTTTTTTTTTTTTTATAACGGATGGAAATAAGTTGGATGGGATACTTGTAGAGATATGGAGGAATAATAATCGTTGCTGATATTTCTGATAATAATAATAATAATAATAATAATAATAATAATGAACACCTTTGCTGTACATGTGGTGCAATACACTTTCCACACCCTTAACTGGACAATAGCTGACATTAAGTGAATGAACGCCAAATAGAGAAAGCTTCTCACTTGTCATCGCATGCATCATCCATGACATTTTCCACTGGGGATTTCTTAAGAAAAAAATTTTTTTGTAGATTAGGAAGTGCTTTATCTATGTAAAAATATGTGATCTTAATATAATTAATATATATATATATATATATATATATATATATATATATATATATATATATATATATATATTTTGAGTTTATATCTGAAAAGCTCAGTGGAAAATGTGACGATGTTATTTCTGACATTAGGTCTCTGGTTGGGACCCAGAAATAATTTAGTATACATCAGAAATCAAATAATAATAATAATAATAATAATAATAATAATAATAATAAACAAGCTGATGTACACAAACTCATCAGTGGCTACGTAGTGCAAGGTTAAAAGCAGAAACCAAAGCTTTTATTCTTGCTGCACAGAAGCAAAGCTTGCATACTAGAAGTTACCAAGCACATATGCTGAAAAATTGTGTTGGCCCCAAATGCAAATTCTGTGATAAATATCCAGAAACATTTGCTATTTTTTTAACAGGTTGCACAGTGCTAACACCAACTGGATAGAAAACGCGGCATGATAGAGTGGGCCAATATCTGCACTGGGAAATATGCAAATTTTACGGGAAGGAAAATGCTAGAAATTGGTATAAACATCACCCAGACCCGGTTACAAAGATAGGACCTGTAACAATTTTATGGGACTTCACAATACACAGAGGCAAAACAATCAAAGCTAAACGCCCAGACATCGTTATTTGAGACCGCAAACACAAAAAGTGCCTCCTTATTGATATTGGAATCTCTGCAGACAACGATGTATCTTTGAAAATCTTCAACAAAATATCAAAATACAAGGATCTTGAAATATAATCACAAAAATGTGGCACATGAGTACATCAACAATTCCAGCTGTAGATGGGGCCCTCGGATTGATGAAACAAGATTCCAGTAGATTTTTCCGGCAGCAATTGCATTAAAGTAATACAAACAATTGTTCTCACGTATACAGCCCAAGCCTTTATTTATGTAAATTATGTGTGATTTTTTTTTTTAAATTGCTCAGTGGAAAATGTCATGATCCCTATTTCTGATCTTAGGTCTTTGGTAGGAACCCGGAAAGAAATGAGTACACACCAGAAATCAAAAGAAATAAGATAAAAGTTGTAGTTAGACCCTAGGAACGGTTGGAAAAGATTCCATTAGACTAATCAAAGGGATTCCTGGAAGTCCATGCCTCAAATAGACACAAAATATTCTTCTGACAAGTACAACCTACACTTTACGAAGGGCTTTGTCTATGTAATTTTTTTTCTTTTTTTTTTATTTTCAGTGGAAAGTGTCATGATGCCATTTCTAACCTTAGGTCCCAGGGTGGGACTCGGAAAGAAATTTGTAAACGCCAGAAATCAAAGGAAATAATAATAAAAGTAATAATAATGAAAGAAAAAAATGTGTTTTATTCTCAATCATTCATTATCTCCTTTCAATGAACGAAACGGACTTTTACTAAGATTCCAACGAACGAGATTCAGTTGGTTTTTCCGCTAATGAAATAAATAAAATAAAACAACTTGCAATCATGAACTGAAAAGAAAGTGGAGGTTAAAACAAATTAAAAAAAAAACAAGCAAAATAAAACAAGAAAAGAATATCTAAAACAAAATTCATTCTATTTCGAATTCTCTGTTTATTTCGTTTATGTCAAGTCGCCGTAAAAAGAACAACATTCCCGCTTCATCTTTTGCGTAAAGTGCAGTGGGATTAATCTGATTGACACAAAAAACAAGAAAAGTGAAGCCATTACACTTGTTTCCTTAAATCGTGTTGTAAAAATAAGTTTAAAGAACAATTTAAAGAACATTCAGGTAATAATAAAAAAAAAAGAAGAAATATAACCAGTTTTGGAGAACACTGAAAAGCCATTCATTCAGAGCAAAATTCCAAATTACACATCTGTATCCACCTATTTTGTTGTGGCGTCAAAAATGAAACAACGTAACACATTCTAATAAAGCTCGCTTTTAAACAGCTATACGAAATAGAAACAGATTCATGCACATTTATGCATGTACTGTATTCCTTTTCGCATATTAACCGACTATCGATAGTCATCTCCACAATATAAAATAGCCTGTACTTGAAAGATTCTTGTAGCTCAGAGATTGGATCAATTTAGTCTGGAAAACCGCCATAAAAATAAGACCGAGATTGAAAACCGAACTCACACTATTAATTCGATTTAGTCTGTGACAATTTTCATTGTGTATTTGAACCTTTCTGTTACCTGCTCATCATATCAAGGGGTTTAATATTCTTAATGTCATTGATGTTGCCTGTATTCACTCTTTCAGTTTATTCCTTGCCCATCTCTTATTCAAACAGATGATTTCACCATCCGTTTCCCTAATAAACCTCGTTCTGATTAATACGATAAACTGCATTCGTATCCGGGGTAAGACGATAAACAACGCCCAACAGCAAGGCCTCTGATCAGGAAGTTTTGAAGAGCGTGGAACAAACCTAATAATTGCTAGTGTTCCCAAGTCCACCCTGATCCGAGGTGGTAGCACCTGTTAATGTCTCAGGTATGGGCAAATAGTTAACTCCCAAACTTGGGTTAAAACAGTACGAAAGTGTAAAAATAAGTTTTGAAGAAAAAATATTACCAGCAATACATTTTTGAAGAAAAAAAGTATTAGCAGCAATACATTTTGAAGGAAAATATTATCTGTAATACGATTGTGAAGGAAAAAAAATTACCAGCAATACATTTTTGAAGAAAAAAATAGCAGCAATACATTTTGGAGGAGAATATTATAAGTAATACGATTGTGAAGGAAAAAAATATTACCGGCAATACGTTTTTATAAATAATTGTTACCAGCAATACATTATTACCAGCAACACATTGTTGAAAAAGAATTACCAGCAATACATTTTTGAAGAAAAAAATATCACCAGAAATACATTTTTGGAAAAAATATTACCTGCAATACTTTTTTGGAAAAATATTACCAACAATAAAATTTTTTCGTAATAATAATAATAATAATAATAATAATAATAATAATAATAATAATGAAAGAAGAATGTGTTTTATTCTCAATCATTCATTATCTTCTTTCAATGAACGGAACAAAAGATCAATGTGTTATTACACATTGAGGTTGATATGTCCTAACCAAACCAAACCATACCAAAACCTAATAAATCTGATCAACATGCTTTTTACTTGATTTGTTTCTTACCTACTGTCCAGTACCGCAAATGTGTTCTCCTGGCAATACGGATCTCGCTGTAATATCCGTAGATATACCACTGGAGTCATCTACTCATCAGGAACCCACTATTGACAAAACTTCATTCTGTTCCCATCGTACTGATTAGGATTTCTTTCGCAACTATCTTCCCGACGGCTCTTAGGTGAAAACTCAATATTTCTATAGACAAATCTGTCACTGAGGGTTTTCTTTGTCGTGTAAAACCCTGTATTTTGTGCCTTCTCGGAGATACCTGGTGAATCCACAATCTTTTGAAAGTTCACACCTGCTTTTCAGGCGCTATTGGCCACAGGTTTATTTCCGCCTGTACCAGATTGTTATTTCTTATTAGAAGAGACGCCTCATTCCTTTTGCTCATTGTACTTATACATTCAATCGCAGGGCAGAGTGGCCTCAATAGCCTGACAGGCCAACAAGTATGTTAGCTGAAAGTTAAATTAAAACAGTGGATACGACAATGGTGAACCATTCCAAAATCATTCACAAAACAATTACTACATTAGGCAGTTTATAGATTTAAAGCAAAAAGCGAAGATACTGATATCAGCAATCAATTTTAAAGTGCTATGATCACAATCCTTGCAGGAAAAGGAATTATCTCCTGTCAAAATAGCTTAATGTGGCTCAAAGATACGCCATTGAACTAATAAGATGAAAGTGGATGAAAACGTATATCAAATATTTTAAGAATAATTAATACATATAACAGATGGACTTACTAAGAAAAAGTCTTTAGTTTATGTCCATATTTCTGAGATGAGGTATGATGTACATTAATTACATTATTCGTACTATTGTCCTCATCTTTGTCGCCCTATTTATCACAAAGTTTATGGAGATATGGAGAGAGAAGAGAGATCACCGCCCTCTGTGGGATCAGGTTGAGATCATAGACAAGGAACACCATTGGAAAATTTGTAAACTTAAGGAATCAGCACATATGCTAGGCCACAAAAATCTCCTGAGCCGACCAAGCATAGAAATAAATACAATATGGGAATCAGTACTAAGGAGTGCCAGAGAAAAGCAATGATAACAAAAAAGTTGCAATATGAGCTCTGGTAAAAACATGATACAATAACAGCAAAATTGCAATATGAGCACTGGTAAAATGGTTGTTGAAGACATTAGGTTTATAATACCTAGAAATTCATACCTAGATGTCCTCAAGGACACATGGCACAGTGGATAAAGTCGTTGGTTAGATCTCGTGACAGGACCCAAAGAGTGTGAGTTCAATACTCGGTTAAGTGGAGAACTTTCAGAGGGAAATTAGCAGGAGATAACTGAAAACTGGCATCCATTAAATATGTCACGTGGAACTAGAACACAATAAAGTGTTCATTTCGACATTCCAACCATCTGAAGAAGGCCGGATCGTACAACGGCCGAAACGTTGTGATAAATATGGCGACAAAGATGAGGACAATAGTCCGAATAATGTAAATAATGCCTTTTGTTTATCTATGGATTTTCATTCAGGACGTGGACAAACATGGTTCTCTGTAATATTCGCTCTTAGGATTTTAAAACAATATTTTTCTATATCTCTGAATATCTTCTGTTAACCATTTACACAAGTTTGTTATATAGATTATGCACTTCTTTACTCTGCCTTTTTTGCATTCCTTGTGTCCTGTGAACGTTAAATTTTCCAAGCCTTCTTTCCTCATTTGGTGCACTAGAAATTTCAAATGTCACTTTTTGATGCAGCGTAAAAGTCTAATATTTCGAATGGGTGTGGTCACTTTGATGGAGTGTAACCTTGTTTCGCGAGATCAATTATGACTGGATGATCCATACTTTTGGCATTGGGCTACAACTGTGCTAAGCTATAAGTGTAATTTTCGTTTCCGTTTTCTTACAATTTTTGTCATTACTCACGTATTCAGATACTAATATTAGTTTTCATTTTGGAAAAGTCATGAGTTGTTCGTTCACGTCCATACTTGAAATGCGTGCCTTCAAAGAAAGAAAAATGATTTATTGTAAGAAATGGCTAAGTACCCAGAAGATTAGTATGTTTTCATATCACTTAATGTTCTGCCACATAGATAGATAGATAGATAGATAGATAGATAGATAGATAGATAGATAGATAGATAATGGACATAGATAGATAGATAGATAGATAGATAGATAGATAGATAGATAGATAGATAGATAGATAATGGACAGTGATAGATCAATAATCAGAGGCTAAAAGATAATGGGTTACTGGTGGTGAAGCGAATTAGTGAGGAGAAAGGACAAGAAATAAAGTGTTTTCGAAAGACAGAGATGTCCCTTGACGTATCATTTAAATGTTTGAAGATTGTAGGTGGATGGGAAGCAAGAAATTGGAAGTGAATTACACAGGCAGAATTGCGAAAACAGAATCTATTTGATTAGAACTTGCAGCTACATCTACTTGTTTCTACCGCAAAACGATGAAATATTTTTCATATCCCTTTAAGTTCTTCCCGATAGATAGATAGATAGATAGATAGATAGATACATACATACATACATACATATGGATTGAGAAAGATAATGGACAGCTATAGATAGATAGATAGATAGATAGATAGATAGATAGATAGATAATGGATTGAGACATATAATGAACAGAGGTAGATCAATAATGAGAGAGACTAAAAGACAATGGGTTACTGGTAGTGAAGCGAATTAGTGAGGAGAAAGTACAATAAAAGAAAGTGTTTCCGAATTGTTTGTAGGTGTCTGAGAAGCAAAAGTTCGAGCCATTTCTCTGTACCGTTTGAATAAAATAACGATGATTTAGATATTAACTTTTTCGAATCTGGTTTTAATTAATGAATATTTTACTCGTGAAAACGTGTTGTAGTAATCACAAAGGTATTAGCGGATAATGCAAGGCCAGGTGTATATGTCAGGTTGTGTAGAACAGACGAAACGAATACTTTTCCTTTCTTTTCAGTCTTCATACATATGTTCAAAAAAGAACAAACACATTATTTTCATTCTGTCTATTTAGTTTGCTAAGGCAATAAAACATTCTTACTGTGTGTAATTTTAAGAATATGCAGTCTTATACATTTTTGTGTTAACGAAACATCCGCACATCGAGTTTTATTTATATCTTTATACTAAACTTCAGCAATTGTTAATCCTACAAAAAGAAATATGTGAGACATAAGAACATAAGCCGTCTTCTTTCTTAATTAGTGTGAAAGGCCTAATGCTGATTATCTCTCTATATAAAACGCAGGATGTCTGTGTGTGTCTGTATGATACCTTTTCCCTTGAGATTCATCCAACCTATTTTTGACTAAACTTAGCACATACATTGATCATTGTAAGAGATTGCTTCGTAGCGTGAAAAATAGATATTTTTAAAAAATCAATAATCAATAAATCAGTGAAAAATTGATTAATTTTTTTTTTTCCTCCAGTTTTGTTCAATGTCGGTAAGTTACTTACATCATGAGGAGCTCAACAATAACTCATTTTTATTTCAATTCCACTGTGTTTAGCGAAAAACCCACGAAAAACGAAAAATCGGTTTCAACACAAATCGATTTAAACACAAATCTTAAACTAAAATTTCCATCAATTTTTAAGCAATCTAATACAACCTTCACCCAATTGTAGCCAACAATAAGTTGACAGTTTATCAGTCATTCAACTTGATAAGTGAGTTCCACATATATTGAAAAACCCGCCTAAATAGCGAACAATGTCGATTTTTAATGGTTTATTTCTTATTTTCAGTTGATCTCTCAACGGATTTTCATTAAACTTATCAATTTTTTTATAAATGTATCATCTTTTACATCCCTCGTATCAAATTGACAAATTGAATTCCAAAATAATTGTGCTCTGATGTAGGTCTTCATGTTGCTTGATTTACCCTTTCATGTCCTCGGCTAACTTCGATTGAATGCATACAGGCTACTTCTGTTATATTAATTCCAAATGCTACTAATAAAAGTATTTTAAAATAATTGAAGCCATTCTGTTACATCTAAATTCGATGCAGTTTTTGCTCCATTCTAATTGAACGCTTTTTTCTGATCGACCAGCTGGGTATGACTGCTAGCTATTTATTTGTAAATAGTGTTTGCAATGTCATTTCGGATGGGATTTAAGAAAAGAACTGTATATACAATAGAAAACGTTACTCTTTCACATATTTTATTTAATTGTCGAATGGGAATAATCTGACAAAGATGATATGATGCATCACGATGACTCCTCAACCAAAGATCTCATAGGGCAGCTGAATTTCGAGAGAGATTAAAAATTCGAACAAGCAGAATTACTAAAGAAATTTATAGTGTTTAATTCGATAGAAGCTTTGGCTTAAAATCAGTTGGGTATGTATGCTCTAGATATCTGGCCTTGTGCCATACTGCGTATTTTATAATTTTAAAGCTGTCACGTTATGAGACTCTTAAGAAATAATGTCTATTTTTTTTTCTGTTCTTGCACTGAATTAGGCGCAAATAATTTTTTTTTTTTGCTGTGGCTTCATATACATATTTTTCCAAACCCTTTTTAAAATCGTACAGAGAGAGTGGGGGAAAATTTAGAATGTTTGAGAGGGTAAGAGTGTGTGTGTGTGTGTATGTTTGTGTGTGTGTGTGTGTAAAAGAGAGAGAGAGAGGAGGATGAGGAGAGAGAGATTTATACATTCTCATTCTACTGGAAGGCGTCTTTTTCCGAAGTAACGCGCCGCTCGAAAATCCATGTTGCCTTCTGCGCGCCGCGGAGGCGGGAATGTGGGTGGACGATACGGGCCTGTCAGCTGCCTCGATTTTAATGGAAAGGACAGCCGCTTGCCGAAAGGGAAACACAGGGTTTCAACAGACGGAAGAATCCGTTACCGTAACAAAATGTTTCGCGACTGACAGAAGTAAATACGATCAGATGGATTCCATTTCAAATTTATTTCCACAGTGAATGAATTTTCGAGCTGATGCATTTTCCTTACTCACAAAAAGAACGACGAGGTCAGCCATATCCAGAGAAACCTAACAGCACGGGAAACCTGAACAAAGTAATAATAATAATAATAATAATAATAATAATAATAATAATAATAATAATAATAATAATAATAATGCGCGTTCTTTTAAACATTGGATGTTCTCACTGTCAGTGACTGGGAGAAAGCATCGAAATCAAAGGACAAGCGTTAAATGTGTACGCAAGTATTATTTTAGTTCGCTTAGCAATAAAGTGAGAATTTATGCCGCGCCAACTTACGCATCTGCACTAGCATGTACATATTAATCTTACGAAAGAACTGGATTCTGCCACCTCATGCATGTCAATCAGTGTGTATGATTTGGAAATAAAACTAGTTGCAGATTATTCGAGTATTTAAGAGAAGTTGAGCGATAAATAATTGGCGATCGTTATTTTGTTAATTTGAAATGCGCGTAACGTTAAATGTTTTAATGTTTGGTCCGAAAGTCTTGTCACCCGCTACCAAAAAGTAATGGGAATAATAAAAGAACAAGCAATACATTAACATAAAGAACATTTACTGGATTCAGTTAATCCACACATCAAAAAAGCCTCTCTTTGAAACTGTCGGAGTTCGTGAAATAGGACATTATATTATATAGGGGTGACAAGACATACGAACACACTATATATTGATACTTGGTATATAACACCTCACATTTTCATTAGTGTAGGTGGTGTGAACACGTGTCCTGTAGAAGTTAACATGCAGCATTGATCCTTTTCTCCTCCTTCCTTCTTTCTTCCTTCTTCCTCGCTCTCTCCTCTCTCTTTCACTCTATCTATCTCTCTTTCATGCTAGACACATACACATATATATATATATATATATATATATATATATATATATATATATATAAATTGGACATTGAGGTCAACATCCATCTAGGACAGTCTATTTCTTGCTTAAACACAATGACCATTTTCACACGCCTCTATCTATATCGAGCACTTTAACCTATAAATTTAGCATAATTCAAATCTATATTTTCATCATATATATATATATATATATATATATATATATATATATATATGTGTGTGTGTGTGTGTGTGTGTGTGACTTTTTATAAATTTGTTATAGTTAGAAGCTCATTGGTTGGGTAGTCGTGTAATATCGCCTTGTACGTCTACACATGCTTCACAAATTTTGTGTCTTTTCTAGCAAAAATTACCACCCCTTTTTATAACCGAAGGTAAAACTTCAAATTTAATTATATAATTAAAATAAAAGCATTAGTTCTGTTTCATCTTCAAGAGAATTTTGGAATAACTTACTTTTAAATTTACTGAGTTTTAAATGCAAATACAATTTATAATTGTTTTTTTTTTGTTTTGTCTGTTTTTTTTGTTCGTTTTTCTATCAATGACAAAGAAGTTTTTCGGCATTTTTTTCCTTAAATTCGTACTTGTTTGGTTGTTTGGGTTGTTTGGGTTAGAATACGTTATACTAAACTACAATTATAAAATTAATTATATAATTAAATTTGAAGTTTTTAAGTTCGGATTTTGAAACATGGTAATTCGCGTGTAAAGCGAAGAAACCATATTTCAAATCAGTTAATATATATATATATATATATATATATATATATATATATATATATATATATATATATATATATAAGGATTTTATGATTAAACAGAAACATGTCTTTATATCATCCAATAAATTTTAGATCTTCCTTCCTTATATAAATAATTCTTCTTTCGGTTACTGGAGATCATCTTATATTTTCCATCAGTCCCTGTTGATAATTGCGTAATACTATGAAACTAGTGTTGAAGATATAGTGGTTTTATCTGAGGAGGTATCATATTTATTATTGTAATTATTATTTCTTTTAACCTCTCTCTTTCTTTCTTTATTTCTCTCTCTCTCTCTCTCTCTCTCTCTCTCTCTCTCTCTCTCTCGCATTCTTAATCATCTTAGAGAAACTTTGTGCTTTCCACCAGTATGGCTGATGATAACCTCCAGATGAGTAAATCCTTACGCTTCCTCAGGCTAAAGTTTTCCGCTGACATGAAGTGGAAAAATTATATTTAATCAGTTGCTAGCTCTGCTGCTAGGAAAGTTGGTTCATTATATCGTGTTAGATAACTTTTTCTCTCTATAATCTATGTTATAAAACCATTTGTTTGTCAATCAACCATGAATAATTCACTCACATTTGGTCTGGTGTTTTAGAGATTCTTCATAATATCGAAATAATAATCTGAAATATTATCTGTCATGACCTGACATCTCTGATTCAGTCACTTTCCCACCGCCGCAACGTAGCTTTCTTGTGATATGAATATAAATATTTTCATGGTAATTCTTCTGATTAACCTTCCACGAATTTAAGCGTAGTAGATTGGTAGCCATCTCTCATCATTTTGCAATTGAAATTGCTAGATGTAATGTTATTAGCTAACAGTCTCTTTTCTCACAATCCTCTTGTTTCCCAGTCAACCTTGATCCTTAAAAATTAAATGCAATGTCAATCGTTATCTTCTGTCTTTTGAATTCCTATTCTTTTATTGTTTCCGTAAAGATTTTTCTTCTTTTTCTTACATTCTTTCATACTCAGTACCCACTCGAGTCTTAGTGGCTTTATTGTCTGC